GTGTGTGTGTGTGTGTGTGTGTGTGTGTGTGTGTGTGTGTTGAATCAGGGCTGCATTCAGAACAAAACGTTTATTCTTTTATTTTTGATCTAATTATTTGTATCATCATTAATCTAAACACTGGTTTGATACACACGTGTTGTAATAACCGCAGCTGAGGTCGCTCTTGACTTTCTCATCGTTCTTAATGTTCTCGTCGTTCTCGTCGTTCTCGTCGTTCTCTGACATGAGTTTAAATACGTGTTTAATGAAATACACTTTAGTTGATGTGAACAACTTTGAGAACTTAAGTCTCCATCGTGTCGCTGCCACTTTAATACGACAGCGTTTATACAAACGCGTGGCTGCTGATTGGCCGGTTGCGATTAATGACGACCACAGAATGGAACCTGATCAGCTGCTGATCTGACAAATGTTTCTGTGAGTGTGAAATCAAAGTCTCAGCTGCGTCCGATCCGATGGATACGAGGACGACACGTCTCCGATCGACGAGGCAGAAAACATGATTGTGATGATGTTGATAACGAGGAAGCAGAGATTTCCGATCACCGATCAATAAGAAGGTGAACACGCCCAGCGTCTTTAGAGGCGTGTCCATCTGCACGGATTGTAAATAAAGAAGAGCAACACGTCTCCTCCTCCTCCCTCTACCCAGGAATCCCCCTGAAATATTTTATTCTGCTCAGCGGTGAAGGTGGAGTGGAACCATGGTAACGAGGTCCCCGTCGACCAATCACAGAGTCAGAGACATGAACGCTTGAACAAACGTCAGTGTGATAACAACAACCTGAAATTACAGAAACCGTCTTTGACAAACTTTTATTTAACGTCAACTCTCGAGACCTGTACTGCAGCCGGCCACCAGGGGGTGATCAAGATGCTTTAGCTTCAATGTTTGGGAGCTGTCACGTCGTCCATCTCTCTGTACAGTGACACACACACACACACACTCACACACACACAAACACACACACACACTATCATTGGACTTTGTCTTTCACACGCAGCAGAGATTGTTCGGCTCAGAATCATCAACAGGGAAATAATTGTTCTTCAAGTCTGAACTTGATTGGTTCTCCACCTCAGTGTTTGTACTTGGACATTCGCTTCTCCTGAGGACACGATGCCCCTGATCCTTGTGAGGACGTCCTCCAGCCGCCGGGCAGGAAATCCACTGACTCAGGTTCAACTCTGTCTCTCGCGGTAATAACCATAAAATCAGCAGCCGTCCCATTACCGGAAGCTTCAGACGCTGCTGGTTGGGAGCGAAACGCTGATCAGCATCAAAACTGTCTGTTCAGAAACCCATGATGTCAGCAGGGATTCCCACGGAGAGGACGGACAGACAGGCTGATGGGAAGCGGACACACAGGGACGCCACCGGCTAAAAGGCTGCTGCTTTTATTACGACGTCTAAAATCTCCTGATGCCAAACAGTCTCAGTGTTGGACAGAACAAACCCTGAATACCGAGTCGTTATTTATTATTTAAAGACTCTGCTACGGTTTTCACTGAAGAACTGTTGCAGCTGGGTTCTGTTCCCAAACTCCTCTAACAATAGATATGATACTGACGCAGTCACAGGGTGGGGGGGGGGGAGGGGCGTTTATTAGCTGCTCACCAGGTGAAAAACCGACGAAACTTTTCACCAGAATTCATGAAAAAAAGAGGAAAATATAAAAGTTTAACGTTTTAACTGAAAAATCTGTTTTTGTCTCTGTAACCGACCCACGATGACGTCACTCGTTGGTTTGTGAGACTCAAGTTTGACATTTTGTTCAGCGCCCATTGGACGGTCCTAGCTGTCAATCACTCTGTGGTATCCACCCCCCCACTACATCTGGAGAGTTCTGGTCTGTTTGACTCTAAATGATCTGAATTAACTAAATGAACATCAGCTGTTTGAAGACGACTTGAAACTTGAGACTGAGACAAAAACTCCTGAGGACAAAGTTTACTGACCTCTATAGAAACTACCAGTGGAGTCGCCCCCTGCTGGTCGTTACACAGAATACGTGTTTCAGGTTCTTAGACATAGGAGTCACTTTCCAGCTAAATGGGTCTACGTTCATTTTTTTCATTAACCAATCAAGACTGCCCCCCCCCCCCATGATTAGGAATCATTTATTCAATATATATATCAAACTATATATTTGCATCATGTCTGACTCACTAATACACGTTTTCTGCGTCACATCAGTCGATTTACTGTCTCACCTTCTCCTCACAAAGTGTAAATCCTCCATCCGATGATTTTAATAAACATCGGAACACATGACAAGTTCATTCTGATGACTCAGCTGCCGTTACACAGACAGACTCTCAGAGAACTGCAGAAATAAAATGAAACATTGCAGCTTGATTGAACTGTACAGTGTGTGTGTGTGTGTGTGTGTGTGTGTGTGCGTGTGTGTGTGTGTGCGTGTGTGTTTCTGCTGCATCGTAACGTGAAAGCTTTTCCTGCTGAAATAATGAAAAACACGCTGCAGAATGAGACTGTGTGTTGTTGTATGTGTTCACGTGTGTGTTCATACATGCGTGTGTGTGTGTTCATACATGCGTGTGTGTGTTCATACATGCGTGTGTGTGCGTGTGTTGTGGTGGATTGTATGTGCTTAGTGGTAACTGAGGCAGAGCAGCTGAACTAAACCAGTCACGCTGAAAGTTTCATTCATAATTCATTAACACACCCACTGGAGATTTTACTGATGCAGGACAGGTAGAGGAGTGTGTGTGTGTGTGTGTGTGTGTGTGTGTGTGCGTGCGTGTGCGTGTGTGTGTGTGTGCGTGTGTGCGCACTCTTTCGATGATTTGACTTGTGTTTGTGCAGAGGACATTTCTACTTTAGTTTGGTTTGAAAAAATACGAGAATAACAATTAGGGCCTTTACACATCAACGAGAACAAACGGCACAAAGAAACAAATAATTCAGACGATTCACGTTCAGCATCACGTGATTTACGCTCCAGGATCTTTTACTAGTTTACGTAACTTTAACCAGGAAATCTGAGCACAAGCGAGAAAGCACCTGAGTGCAAGCGGAGTGTAGTTGAATGAAGTTGATGCAACAAAGTTCGGACACTAAACGTCTCGTTCTAACAAATCAATGCCTCAAAATGTTAAAGTGTTAAAATGTGTTCCAACATCTCAAACACACACACACACTCACACACACACACACACACACTCACACACACACACACTCACACACAAAAGGTCGTTGTTTGTAAATGTCTCACTCTCTCCTCTCCTGTCTTCTCATATTTCCTCACATTTACTTTCATTTTATTCCTCCTCTTCTTCTCCTCTCTTTGTCCCACTCTCCCTTCTCCCCTTTATTATTTACTTTCTGTTTTCCTCCCTTTCCTCATCCTTCCTCCGGTTATCGTTCTTCTTTTTCTCCACTCTTCCTCTGTCCACATTTTCCTACTGTTTATTCTGTGTCATACCTCCCTCTCTCTCATCCCACTGGTTTGTCTCTCACTCTCCGTCTCTTTTCTGTTTGTGTGTTTTCTGACAGGGCGGCCATACATGGACACGGAGTAAGGACCTGACGCCGCCTCCTCGCTCTTCAAAACAAACCTGGTGTCTCTCCACCGCCGCCGCCGCCGCCGCTAATGCCCCGCTGCCGTGAGCAAGAGCGAGAGAGAGACAGTAAAACATGGGGAGAGAGATAAAGGAAAATTAGAGGAGAAAAAACAGCAAGCAAAAGCAGAAAGAGAAAGAGAGGAAGAGTGAGGCTGCAGATCCATAATCGCCACAGCAGAGAAACACTTAGAGGGAGGGAGGCAACGCAGGCGATTCTGTCTATCTTGCAACTTTAAGGGACCATCATCACAATTTAATAAGAATTTGAAAGGCTGCGGCGCTGCAACAAATCTGTCTTCAGAGGGCGAGCGAGCTCGAGTCAAACACAGAGAGGAGGAGAGCGAGAGAGGAAGTGCGAGGCGGAGGCCCAACACAAACGTCTCCTCCCAGGATTTATTTCCTCAGCTGCAATAAAGAAAACTTTCAGTTTATTTTACCGAATTTTTCCCGTTTCGAGGTTTTTATGTTTGTTTTGAGTTTTTTTATTTATTTAGAGGAAAACGCTTCTTAAAAAGTTTCTTCTTCGTATATTTAACGAAGTGATATTTCAGTTTCAGTCTGTTTCCTCTTTGAGTTTTTCAGGAAACAACAGGAAACCTCCGAACAGAAAGACGCCCCAGACTCGCCAAAATAAAAGACAGGCCACAAACCTGTCAGATGCGTTGGCCTTCCCGCTGCTTCACGGCGTTCTTTTCATGGCTTGACACCTAACTGTCGTCCGACCCCTCCCTCTGCCCCTCCTCCCCCCTTCTTGCCCAACACCCTCAACATGTCAGACCACCTCCTCTCTCGCCGACCCGACCGCTTGAGGGCATCAGGGCAGGAGAAGAAGTGAGGGAAGATTTAGTCGAGGCACTTACAGACAATTTTGTTAGCCCCGCCCCTCCGCCGAGGACGCAACTCTAACAGGTGGAACGCTCTGATGCAAGATGGCAGCCGGCGTGGCGACGTGGCTGCCTTTTGCCCGGGCGGCAGCAGTGGGCTGGCTGCCGCTAGCCAAGAAGACGATGCCCAAACCACCAGTGGACAAGTCGTCCAGGTCAGATGAGATCCTGTACGTCAACGTCAGCGGGGTCAGGTTTCAGGTGGGTGTGGCCATCTTCTGAGCATGCTCACCAATATTTAGTTTGGTCCATGTCCCATCTGCTAACATGGAGGAGGCAGGGTTTATGATTAAAACTGCAGCCTGCCACCAGGGGGGCAATTAAGATGCTCCGGCTTCACTTTTAGAATCCATCAAGTCGTCCATCTTTATTTACAGTCGACGGCTCTTTCAGATGCATCATCTCTTCTTCTGCGGCGCTGTAACAGCATCTGACTGGAGAATCAGCGCCACCTACTGTTAATCTCACATTTAATATCTCGGTGACAAAACGTTTGGTGGCTGTTTGTCAGCAGCTGCTTGAAATTCAGTTAAAACAAAAATCACACAATAACATTTAAAGAAGAGGCAGTTAGCGTCATGACGCTTCACTGCTCCCGTCTCCACATCTCAGTATCTTTCTAATGGAACGTTTGTGTTTTTAATACTGAGTGTGAGTAAATGAGAACATCTGATGTTTCCGTGTCTGTAAATCAAGCTTGGAATCAGGTTCTGATCATTGGAATAAATAATTAGAAATTTAAATAAACATTGGTTGGAAACTTCTTGGTTTGTTTCAGACCTTCAGACTTTTAATTTTAGTCTGAACCTAAATATCAGGTGTGAAAATGTCCTTTAGTTGAGTTTGTTTTTTTTTTCTTCCGTCTGTGATGTTGCTGTTTGCTCGTTAATTTAAATTCAGCTCCGACTCTGAACTCGTCGCTGTTGAGTGAAGTGAAAAACGTCTCCTCTGTTTCTCGTCTGTTTCTCAGACATGGAAGAACACTCTGGATCGTTATCCTGACACGCTGCTGGGCTCCTCGGAGAAAGAGTTTTTCTACAATGAAGACACGCAAGAGTACTTCTTCGACAGGGACCCTGAAATGTTCCGACACATCCTGAACTTTTACCGCACTGGGAAGCTCCACTACCCGAGACACGAGTGCATCCAGGCCTTCGACGAGGAGCTGGCCTTCTACGGCATCGTGCCGGAGATCATCGGAGACTGCTGCATGGAGGTAACCCTGCACTTAGAGATGACACTGATGGACAGTGAAGGTGATTGAACGTCACTGACGATGTTTAAATGGTTGAGCTTTTAGTGACCTTGAAGAATCGTTTGTCCTAAAGCGAGCATCACAACATGTCTGTCATTGACTGACCTGCTCAGTCTGCCTGCAACGCACTTTTATTCAGCTTCTCGTTAAAATACGGGTTTAGTTGTGTTTGGCTCATTCTGACTAACAATCATTAAACCTCATATAAGTGAATATATAATAAGAATAAAAAATGCAGCAGCAGTCGTGTCTGTGCCGATGAGTCGTCAGGAACAGTTAACGTGTGATTTCTTGGTGCTGAACATATTTTACAGTCGACCCTGACGATGTGTAGATTTCACTCTGAAATATCGGAGCTGGATTTTCCGATCTCAACCCTCCAGTTAACAACAGAACTGACTCACGTGTGTCTGTAGATTTGGAGGCTCAGGAAATAAAGCAGGTCGTCCACTGAGCAGGAGGTCGATGATTCAATTTCCTCCAGCCGCATGACCAAGTGTCTGTGGTCCGGACACTGAATCTTAAACTCTTGTTCCTCCAACATTTCTGCAACATATTCTTGATGACTGGAAGATGAGAAACAGAGCAGGAGTGTTGGTTTTCTTTCTCTCTTAAGATTTAAGATCTTAAATCGTCTCTCTGAGGAGCCACAGTTCGTCCAGGGGACTCCTTGTCCTGCTGTTTTTGTCCTCGATGGTTTAATTAGACTGTTTCTGTTTCTGTGAGTTGAACAAAGTGATCGTCTCCGTTTATGACTCCAGTTAAACAGTTTGTGGAACTTGGAAATTGGAGGTAGATTTAGATGCACATTGATGAGATGGTAAATTAAACTAGAACGACAATCAAACATCAGCAACAAGAAAGAGGGAGGGGTCTTTCGTGAACGCTGCTGGTCAGCTTCTGTCTGGACCAACAGAATCTTGAGAAATTATGCAGACGTCCACGTTTTCTTCCTGATTGGTTCTTATCCCCACATGCACCAGTTCTTTAGATATTTCTTTTGTGTATATGCTTCAGAATAAAAGCCCCCCATGCTTAATTTCTGCAGGACCTTTATTGTGAAGCAGCTGTGGATGTTGCTGGAGCAGATACCACTCGTGTGAACATCTGTTGCTCGGTCTGCATCGTTTGTCGTGGGTTCTGTGACCTTTGACCTCAGATCTCTTCAGGGTGTTTGCTGTTTGTGCGGCTGCAGAACTCATTAAGTCTCTCTCGAGAAGAGCATCATCAGCCAGAGGACTTGCTGTGTTAGTGTAAGGACATTAATGGATCTGAGGGGGATTACTAACCAGCGCTGCTCCCAAACCCACCGTTAAACTGCATCTCATTATCACAGCGCTGATGATCCTCCTGAAACTCTGCAGCTCTAGTACGATCTGCTTTGGCTCTTTATTGCTCCTGAATTTGGCTTCGAACTCCTTCTTAAAGTAAGTGATTCCATTAAACAGTCATAAACAAGTCATTTGTTCCGTCCTCACTCCCCCAACAGCAAATCACCTGCAGAGCTCTTTATATTTTACATTTTTCATACTAACCTTGTCTGCGGAGGCTTTAACATCTTTATATGCTCATTTATATTAAACGACTCATGAATGACGAGTCGTCCTTTAATTCTCCATCAGGTTTATTGGCAGCGTTCATCAAATGAGACTCTAATTTCTGGATTTCTTTTTTTAACTCAGTCAACACCTCCCACACAGTTTCCCATTATTCCTCCTGTAATTTTACAGATCTGAATGTTTGTCTGCTGCTTTGACAAATTGGATTTGAATCCAAAACTGTCTGAGGACGACCGGTTTTTTTCGGTTGTAGCCTGAATTGACTCGTGTCCAAAGCGTGTTAACAGCGAGCAGTTATCCTTAATGAACCGTGGGCAAATTACTTATTTAATGATATATAAAGTGTTTATCTGTCTTGTCACTCTGCTGCTCATTAGATGATTCTGTTAACGAGGGAAAACATTTCACTCCATTCTGGGTCATTTCCACAGTTAATTCATCTGAGGTGAGGACGGCTGTCGACTATAATTGAATTTCTTACCTCGCTCATCTCTTATGAAGTTAGCAGCAAAAACGGTTTCCATACATGAACTCCGGATAATTGGGTACGGACGTTTTCCGTAATTTGCATTTTTAAATATGAAGAAGCAGCAGGAGAGAGTCCGGGTCAGACTCGAGAACTGTCAATGTCATTGACCAGTTTCCGTTTGCTTTCTTGTAATTGGGCGACTGGAAGAGCAGCTAACATGCTAACAAAGCAGCTAATTTGGCTGAAGGACAAACGAGCTAACATCGAAGAAGCTAATCTGCACATACCTACGTCAAAAAGTTCATGAGTAGAAAACTGTGGTAAATCTGATGTTAGCAGGGCTAGCTATCTTAAAACGTCTGTTTCAGTTGGTATGATAGAAAAGAAGCTTTTAGCATCTTAGCAATAATTAGCATTTCGTGTAAAAACTGTGTTGAACAAAATTCATACTTATCGGTTAAGAACAGAGGATGTCGCACCTTGTTAAGCTTTGTGAGACAAACTGTGATTCGTGAACATACAAATAAGATTTGATTGACAGACTTAAAGAAATGACGATGTGGCTTTGGTGTCTGCTGGAAAAACGATTCTTCAAATCTAACGTGCTCCCAACACAAACACAAAGTGAGGCCGTGTTTTTCCCGATTTTTTCAAAACTAAAGACGTAATGTAAAACAGTTGACGTTGATGTCAACGCTAACCTCATCTTCCTCTCCCTGCCTCTCTCTGTGAAGGAATACAGAGACAGGAAAAAGGAGAACCAGGAGCGTCTGGCGGAGGACACGGAGGCCAACGAGGGGATGGACGCCCCCCTCCCTCCAGACAGCACCTCCAGGGAGCGTCTGTGGCGAGCCTTCGAGAACCCCCACACCTCCACCATGGCGCTGGTCTTCTATTACGTCACCGGCTTCTTCATCGCCGTCTCTGTCATCGCCAACGTGGTGGAGACGGTCCCCTGCCGGCCTCCCAAAGGCAGCGTCAAAGACCTTCCCTGCGGCGAGAAATACCAGCTGGCCTTCTTCTGCATGGACACGGCCTGCGTGCTCATCTTCACCTTTGAGTACCTGATGCGCCTGTTCGCCGCGCCTAGCCGCTGCAAGTTCATGCGCTCGGTGATGTCGGTGATCGACGTGGTGGCCATCATGCCCTACTACATCGGCCTGGTGATGCCCGAGAACGAGGACGTGAGCGGCGCCTTCGTCACCCTCAGGGTCTTCCGAGTCTTCCGGATCTTCAAGTTTTCTCGGCACTCGCAGGGTTTGAGGATTTTGGGCTACACGCTGAAGAGCTGCGCCTCCGAGCTCGGCTTCCTGCTCTTCTCCCTCACTATGGCCATCATCATCTTCGCCACCGTCATGTTCTACGCCGAGAAGGGCACCAAGGGCTCCACCTTCACCTCCATCCCGGCCTCCTTCTGGTACACCATCGTCACCATGACAACGCTGGGGTGAGTTAGCATCAGTCTAATGTTGTGTGTTCGCTGCCTCTCTCTGATGATGTCTGACATTACACAGATTTATTTTCGCTCCTGATGACTGTACCGCCGTTAATACGATCGTCATGGCAACACGAGCGAGCGTTTGTGTGTTCTCCGTCTGTTTCGTGTCGGGACACGGACATTGTCATCGTTATTGAAATTTACTGCCTGTTTCTGCCATGAAAAGAGATGAAGTGGTAAAAAAAACAAGTGTGTGTTTATGTGTGTGTGTGT